AGAGAGAGAGAGAGAGAGAGAGAGAGCGAGCAATGATTTAGTTATTTGAAGCATTAAGCAGGAGTTTCAAAATATCTATCATCAAACAAGGACAGATAGAGGCTGTGAAAAGTCAAGTTGCTTATGGGTAAGTCGGAGCCAAATGAGTGTAATATCTAGCTACAAAAAAGGGAAAGAAGGTAAAAGAAGGAATACACATTTATTCAGTACACTTGATGACTACATCAGCCCTACTAATTCCTATAAGAAAACTGTTACTATCTCCCTTTTGCAGCTATGAAAACTGCAAGCTCAGCGAAGTTGAATAATTGCTCAAAGTCACACATGACAGAGTCAGAATACAAAATCATCCTTGCATTAGTCTGCTCAGTCAGCCTTCCATAACAAAATACCACAGACTGCGTGGCTTAAACAACAGACTTTTATTTTCTCACAGTCCTAGATACTGAGTGTCTGAGATCAGGGTGCCAGCATGGTTCAGTTTTGGTGAGGTCTTTCTTCCCGGCTTGCAGACAGCTGCCTTCTTGCTGTGTGCTTGCATGGTGGAGAGAGAGATCGATATCTGTGATATCTCATTTACTAAAAGCATGTTCATCCCATCAGTCCAGGGCCCCACCCTCATGACCTCATCTAACCTTCATTACAACTCAAGAGCCCCATCTCCTGATACCATCACGATGGGGGTTAGGGCTTCACATATGAGTTTGGAGGAGACACAAACATTTACTCCATCACAATTCCCTTGACTTGAATTTCTTATTTTTTTTTCCTACAACACAGAAGGTGATAAGTGCTTTGTATTTTTGCCTTTAATGTCCCACACATGTGCCTAATTGACCTGGGCAATTCTAATCTGCTCAACCTCAGAACAGAATACATCATGCTAATGGGGGTCCCCCAAAACTATTTGTTGAGTCAGTGGCCACAGTGATCTGTCAGTGAACCTGAGCGATCTGAGTTAGTAGGAAGGCACTCGTCCCTGCACACCCACATTCATCTTTTAAATGTTACGACTGATCATTTTCAATTATTTTCTTCATAAAGTTTTGTACTATTCTGAGACCATTTTCCACTTTTGGACAAGAGATTGCTTTGTAGGGAAGAGCCAGAAAGAGATTTAAGGACAAAACTCATCTATCTGAAGTTCCCTTAAGAAAAGTGAAACTGAGTCAGAAGGAATGGAATCAAATCCTGTGTTCCCACAGGGCGCTACTGCAATGCACATTCAGCTTATAATGGAACGGCTGCTGAGAAGGATCAACCGGACAGTGATTGGGATGAGCCGGCAGTCTCCCCACATCGTGAGTATCTGTTTGGTGGATCCCACGGCTGCTGCTGCTTCTCTATCCCCACGGCCTATCGGGAAGTCTTCGGGGCCAGTGGCTTGAGGCTGTTCTTCACATGGGCCTCTTACATCATGGGTTATTGGTTATAAGCTTGAGCAGATCTTGATTCTGACATGGATTTTCTATTGAGAGAAAATAATCCAGCCTAGGCAATATAGTGAGACCCCATCTCTACAAAAAATTTAAAAAATTAGCTGGGCGTGGTGGTGGCGTGTGCCTGTGCCTGTGGATCAGGTACCATACTGGCACCCTGACCTCAGGAGGCTAAGGTGGGAGGATCACTTGAACGTGGGATGTCGAGGCTGCAGTAAGCTGTGATTGTGTCACTGCACTCCAGCCTGGACAACAGAACAATAGCCTGCCTTGAAAAGAAAGAAAGAAAGAAAGAAAATGATCCAGTATGAACCACCCAGCCCCCTTGATTCAAGGAACAAAACCAAACATTTTAAAGAACCTGTGGTTAGCATGCTTGTGGAAAGGCCAGTGTTGCTCTCTGGCCTCTTGTTTTCTGTGTACTCTATCTAAATAGACGCCAGGTAACAACTATGATAGAGACCAGGGGTAGCTGTGGAAAGACTCAGTGGTGTCTTCATTAAAGTGAAACATCTTTTACTTGCTGTATTAAAAGCTACGGTTAGATTTTAATTAGAGGACATAGGACAAGAATGATTCCAAATTCCTGTCAGGTTGAAAAAATTCATTTATTTCACAAATAGGTGTGTAAAAACTGCCGTAAAACAGGCACTGCTCTGGACACTGAAGATGTACCCATGAACACAACAGAAAAATCACTGCCTTTGAGGAGCTGACACCAACAATAATGACAACAGTTATAGCAAAATAAACTACATAGTGTTAGGAGACAACAGGTGCTATAGAGGAAAAAAAAAAATAGCAGGTTAAGGGAAGTGAGGGTGGGGGAGTCACAGCTTTAAATAAGATGATTAGGAATTGAATACCTTTTGTTGAAATTAAATACCTTTTGTTTTTCTATATAGAGACAGATTCTCACTCTGTCACCAGGGTGAAGTATAGTGGCACCTTCACAGCTCACTGCAGCCTCAGTCTCCTGAGTCTAAGCAAGCCTCTTGCCTCATCCTCCTAAGCAGCTGGGACTACAGGCACATGCCGCCATGCCTGGCTAACTTAATTTTTTTGTAGAGGTCGTTCACTGCGACCTCCACCTCCCAGATTCAAGTGATTGTCCTACCTCAGCCTCCCAAGTAGCTGGGATTACAAGTGTGTGCCCTGACACCCAGCTAATTTTTGTATTTTTAGTAGATATGAGGTTTTGCCATGTTGGCTGGGCTAGTCTTGAACTCCTGACCTCAAATGATCCACCCACCTTAGCATCCTAAAGTGCTGGGATTACAGGTATGAGCCACTGCACCCAGCCTCTAACCTGTTTTAAAATAAATGATATTTAATGCCTGTTCTTTAACGACAGAAGCTGTTTAGAGATTATAAATGAGAAAGTCTATTTAATTCAGTCAGAAAAATATCAGAGTAAGAATAAGTACTAGTTACAAATAAATAGCCAAATAGAAATAATAACGAGGCCTGGCATGGTGGCTCATGCCTGTAATCCCAGCACTTTGGGAGACTGAGGTGGGCAGATCACAAGGTCAGGAGATCAAGACCACCCTGGCCAATGTGGTGAAACCCCGTCTCTACTAAAATACAAAAAAAAAAATAAAATTAGCCAGTTGTGGTGATGCATGTCTGTAGTCCCAACTACTTGGGAGGCTGAGGCAGGGGGAATCACTTGAACCTGGGAGGCGGAGATTGTAGTGAGCTGAGATCGCGCCACTGCGCTCCAGCCTGGTGACAGAGCAAGACTCTGTCTCGTAAAAAAATAAAAATAAAAATAAACGTAATAATGGAGAGCTTGCCTGTCAGACTTAGAGGATACATATCAGCAGAACAGAACCATATAAGTGAAAAGGAGATTTTGGATCGTATGAATATTTCGTTACCTTTCAAAAGAGAAAATGAAGATTTTTAGTAAACATTGTTTAGAACATTAGTTAACAATTTGGGGCTGGGTGCGGTGGCTCATGCCTGTGATCCCAGCACTTCAGGAGGCTGAAGCTAGCAGATCACTTGAGTCCAGGAGTTGGAGACCAGCCTGAGAAACATTGCAAGAACCTGTCTCAAAAAAAAAAAATACACAAAAATTAGCCAGGCGTGGTGACATGCGCCTGTAATCCCAACTACTCAGGAGGCTGAGATGTGAGGATTGCTTGAGCCCCAGGGAAGTTGAGGCTACAGTCAGCCATGATCGCCACTGCACTGTAGCCTGGGTGACAGAATGAGACCCCGTCTCAAACAAAGAAAAAGAAAATTAGTTAATTTGGAAAAAATTTGTTCAACTTCATACTATACCCACAAAATAAATGTCAGATAGAATGAAGTATTCAATTTAAAAAAATTACATTATAACGCGCTAGAATAAAATAATAGATAACTGATTTGAGGAGGAACAGGATTCATGGATTTTTATAGTTAAAATACAAGAAAAAATCGATTTTACTAGGTGAAATTCTAAATCCCTATATATGAAGATATGTGTGTGTGTGTGTGTATATGCAAATTAAAAGTTAAGCCCCAAACTTTAAAAATTTTTGTAACATAGGTGACAGGTGGCTAATAAACTTAATATACAAAAGCTATTGTAAGCCACTAAGCAAAGATATTGTTTTAATAGAAAAATGAGTAAAGAATGGGTACAAACAGCAACATGAGAAAGCTAAATGGCCAAAAAGTTCATGGACAGACTGTTTAATTTAGAGAAAAGGAAATGAAAATGCGAAGTGAGATTAAGTAAACCTCTAATACCCAGAATAGGCAAGGTCTTGGAGAAACAAATTGTGTTAGACACCACTGGGAAAACAAGCTATATGATAATTTGGCAATATATATATCAAAGGCCATAGTACAATAAATTTACACTGCTTTGTAATTGAAAAAATAAACCTTTTTTTTGTTTTGTTTTGTTTTTTTGAGACAGGCTCTGGCCATCACCCAGGCTGGAGTACAGTGGTGCAATCTCGGCTCACTGCATCTCTGCCTCCCAAGCTCAAGCAATTTTCCTGCCTCTGCCTCCCAAGTAGCTGGGATTATAGGTGCCTGCCGCCATGCCAGGCTGATTTTTGTATTTTTAGTAGAGATGGGGTTTCACCATGTTGGCCAGTCTGATCTCAAACTCCTGACCTCAAGTGATCTGCCTGCCTTGGCCTCCCAAAGTGCTGGGATTACAAGTGTGAACCATGCCACCAGGCCTAAAATATAAACTTTTTAAAACAAAAGAAACAGTCTAGGGAATGCATTCAGTAAGAGATAGACACAGACAGTCTTTCGTTGTTCTGCTTGGGGAAACTTTCTCTCTGTTTTAGAAACAGCTGTATGTTCATCTCTCCTGTGCTAAATTCCTTTGTGTTATTTTCATAACTGCATGAATACAGGAGGTTAGCACCCCTGGATCTTTACTCCCTGTCTATAAAACTAAGTCTATAATTCACATTGTTTTGGTCTAGGGGTAGCACCTTGAATATGTAATTCCCGAACTCACAAATGGAAGCAATGTTAATTAATCATCTAGTTACTAATTTTTTATCTTCAAGTCAGGGTCACAATTCATGTGGGTAGTATATTGGAACAACTGGCTGATGGGCTCTGGAGTTGGAGAAGTGGTATCAGGTGGTATTAGTCCGTTCTCATGCTGCTAATAGAAACATACCTGAGACTGGGTAGTTGATAAATCTGAGTAGTTTATCAAGGGAAGAGGTTTAATTGACTAACAGTTCAGCATGGCTGGGGAGACCTCAGGAAACTTACAATCATGGCGGAAGAGGAAGCAAACATATCCTTCTTCACAAGGCAGCAGCCAGAAATGCCAAGCAAAAGGGGGAAAACCCTCTTGTAAAACCATCAGATCTCGTGAGAACTCACTATCACGAGACTAGCATGAGTGTAACTGTTCCCACCATTAAATTACCTCCCACAACACATGGGGATAATGGGAACTACAATTCAAGATGAGATTTGGGTGGGGACACAGCCAAACCATATCACAGGTATTCTAGCAGGGAGTTTTCATCATCATCCCTTGCCCTCCTCTCCTCCATGCTCAGTGTTGCCACCTCTTTTCCTGCTAGCCTTCCTCCCCGTTAAGATTTGTTTAACTAATCTAAGTATTTTGGACATTTCTCCATGGAATTCTATGCTGCAGCTCTGTCTCAACAAGAAACCCAAAGCCCCACAAGTTATGACATCTTCACTGGTAATCTCATTGAGGTGTCCCGTCTATAGGATTCCACACTTCATAGCTGTTAATGCGAGTCCTTCACTTATACCTGGAAGGAGGTAGTTTGAAGCAGAAACTGTAAAGCACGTGGCCTTTGGACCTGTAGAGTGCAGCGTGTTTCCAGTGTGGTGGGGTACCTGCATGGCTCGTTGGGTGGAAAAAGCCAAGTTCGTGGGGCTCACATCGTGTTTTTGTCAGTTGGTGGTCTAAGGAGTCTTGGATTTGTGCTTTCCTTTTCCTTCCAGGGGAGTTTTGTGGCTTGCATGATTGCCATCCTGCAGCAAATGGACGACAGCCACTATAGCCACTACATCAGCACTTTCAAAACCAGACAAGACATCATTGTAAGTTGCCTTTACTGGTCCTGGTAACCTGAAGACTTCTTATATTTGGTTTAAAAAAATGGCTGAAGCTGCGCATCAGGAGTCCAGGCTTCTCTTCCCACCCACCTCCAGTGCTGTGTGGCTGTCCACAGTGGTTACAGAAAGGAGAGAGCTAATTCCTACTTTCTCTCTTTGATAGGATTTGAAAAAGAGTACAACACATATACCAAGAGGTTATCGCACACCTTAATCTTTCTTGGATTTAGAGAGAGTCCTTATTTAGCAATATTTGGGAGATGTTTTTTACTCTGAAAACAGGATTTCATACGTGGTACAGTAACTATTCATGTCATGGCAAGGATTTTAGAAGGCAGGGGTGTGCAAAGTCTCCTAAGACGTGGTTGATACCATCATTTTGGAGAGGGCAACAAAAAGAGGTAATCCCTGCCCTTTACAACCTGTCCATGGCCTTTTAGGAACCTGGCTGCACAGCAGGAAGTGAGCAGCGGGCCAGCGAGCATTAACGCCTGAGCTCCACCTCCTGTCAGATCAGCAGAGGCATTAGATTCTCATAGGAGCTGAATCCTATTGTGAACTGCACATGCGAGGAATCTGGGTTGCCCGCTCCTTATGTGAATCTCACCAGTGCCTGATGATCTGAGGTAGAACAGTTTCATCCCAAAACCATTCCTGCCCCCATTCATGGGAAAATTGTCTTTCCTGAAACCTGGTGCCAAAAAGGTTGGGGACTCCTGCTTTACAGCATTTATAAGTTATCTTCAGATGAAAATATTTTGTTCTCTATTGTTTTAAGCAGGAAAATTGTTCTCATAGTTGCTATGAAGCACTCACCTAAGAGGCTAAGTTAGGCCTCTGGCTGTGGCTTCACTGTACCTTCCCTTCAGGGGATTGTTAGTGGCCCTTCAGATGTCCATGAAGGCGTTGTTAGACTTTGCAGAGCAGTGGACAGGATGTGCCGCTGGATTAGCACACTGGTGTCATGTTGACACTAGTCTTTGGATACTTTCCCATCATCTGTGCATGTTCCAGTCTCTTTGTTCTAGATTTTCCACTTTCTGCGTCTGTCATGCTGAGTAGGAGGCCATTGCCCCCATGGATTCACAGCTCCTTCCTTGCCCATTACCCACCCTTCTGCCATGCCCACTACCCACCTTTCTGCCATGCCCACATGATGGACAAACATACAAGGAATTGGAGGGAAAGTGCTGTTTGTTATTACTCGTTGGCCCAATGGTGGACTCTCAAATCCGTGTTAGACCACATGGCTTGAGCTGAAGGTCTCCATGAGCCTCTGCTTGGGCCACATCGTGGCAGGCAGCATGGCATAGGAACCATAGCAATACGTAGATGTGCCTGTGGAGACCAGGCTCAAGAGGACCAGGATGAGAGGAGAGTAGGGGAGGGGGAAGGCCAAAGGTAGACATGTGTCCTCTACAGGCAGGTGGCATAGCACCTGCTTTAGCACCGGCTTTAGAACACCCAGCTCTGAGTTTGAATTCTGACCATTCCACTTCCTTGTATGCAATTTGGGGCAAGCTGTTGAACCTCACTGAGCTTCAGTTTCCTCATCTGCAAGATAGTACCCACCTTGAGGGTTAATTAAGTGTTGCTTGGCTCCATGTGTGGGAAATACCCAGCTTCGTGCAGGTTGGCATGTAGCTAATGCCTATGAGGACTAGCTGTTTGTGACAATCATCGTATTATTATTGCTATATAAAGTAAAATTAACAATAAAAATTTTAGGGATTTTTGTTGCAAATTTCCTTTAGAAAGCAGGCGGAATGGGGAAGTTTTAAATTCAAACCCTGACAATTTGGCTCCTTTGTTAAGTAAGAAAAAAAGGGGCATACCTCCTGTTTACCAGCATGATGGTGAACCCCTCCAGCTATATTATGTAATTAAAAGAGGATCATTATCCCCACAAGGGAACTAAGGCCTGGAGAAATGAGGGAACTTGCCTGAATGTAGTCCCCAGGGGCCAAGTTATGGTGCACAGCTAGGCCTTTGCTTCCCAGTGGCCTTTCAGTCCCTCACGCCGCCTTCTGAGTGAACCGCATGAAGGCCCTTGGGAAGTGGTGGATAAAACCAGGCTTTGGGATTCCTTGTGAGTTTCCTTTATCATGCTATCTCATTAATTTAGATTTCCAGGAGTTAAATGGAAAGTCTGTATCTGAAGCAAATAACAAGTATCTAAATTGAATCCTTGCTTCACAAACCATGAATTCTTATGGATTTAAAAGAAAAGTTAACAGAATAGCTAATAAATTGGTGGAAGTGCTTAAAATATATTATGAGGCCAGATGTGGTGACTCATGCCTGTAGTCTCAGCACTTTGGGAGGCCGAGGCAGGTGGATCACTGGCTGGAAGTCAGGAGTTCGAGACCAGCCTGGCCCACGTGGTAAAACCCCATCTCTACTAAAAATAAAATAAAATAAATTAGCCAAGGGTGGTGGCAGACACCTGTAATCTCAGCTATTGGGGTGACTGAGGCAGCAGAATCGCTTGAAACCATGAGGTGGAGGTTGCAGTGAGTTGAGATTGTGCCACTGCACTCCAGCCCAGGCGACAAAGCAAGACTCCATCTCAAAATAAATAAATAAGTAAATAAATATATGATGAAACGAATTTGAATTCATTAACTACATCTAGGATTTCAGAATTGAGGGTGGGTACGTCTAACTCGCCATAAAACCAGGGGAAAATCCACAGTTGCACACACACACTTGCTGGCCAGAGAGAGTCATGCCCCATGCCGTTCAGCATCCAAAGTATAGGAAGTTACCCAGCTTGACCAGTGTCTCAGAAAAATATGGTTAGCAATAGGACCTGGACCTCCTCCTGCCTCTCACATACTGTGTTCTTACTACTGCACAACAGACAAGTGTCCAGGCGGGACTGTGTAGGTTAGTGCCAGAGAAACTGGACAGGACTTTCAGGAATCACAGTGGAAAAGGTCTAAATTTAGCTAACTAATAAAAATGCCTTCAAAACATTTTAGCTTTGATTTCAACTCTGATTGTTCTATTTTTGAATTAGTTTTTGCTCACAGCCCCCTTTGGAGCAGAAGAGCTCTGTATGCTTAAGTGATTAGTTATTAGTCATCACCAGCCACTGCTATGGTCCCTTTTCAAGGACCGTTTAGGACCCTTCTTCCAGGCTGCACATGATAACGTCCCTGGCACAGGAAGAATCGTGATTCTGCGTGTGTATCACTGTGTCCTGTTCTGACCATAATAAAGGAGAATTGAACTGAACTCTATTAAAAGTATCCATTTCCCCACAATTGTTGGTGAATTATGTTTAAGTGCATGAGACACATTCTGACAACCTGTGGTAGCGGAGGACAAAAGAGATAAGGATTACAAACTTGGGGTCCAAAGCCCCAAGTTCTCACCCAACTCTTCTCCTTCCCATTTTCTTTTTTTCTTTCTTTTTCTTTTTTTTTTTTTTTTTTTTTGAGACGGAGTCTCACTCTCCTATGCAGGCTGGAGTGCAATGGCAAAATCTCAGCTCACTGCAACCTCTGCCTCCCTGGTTCAAGCAGTACTCCTGCCTCAGCCTCCCAAGTAGCTGGCACTACAGGCATACGCCACCAAGCCCGGCAAATTTTTGTGTTTTTAGTAGAGATGGGATTTCGCCAAGTTGGCCAGGCTGGTCTCAAACTCCTGACCTCATGATCTGCCCACCTCAGCCGCCTCCCCAAATGCTGAGGTTACAGGTGTAAGCCACCACACCCGACCCTCCTTCCTACTTTCAATGCAGTTAAGCGAGTCCTTTAGTTTTTCTCAGTCTCAGTTGTACCATTTGTAAAATGTGGATGATTCTTTTTGTCCTCATCTTCCTTATAGGGTCCTACAATATAAAAATCAAATCGCATCATAGCTAGCTGCAAGAATGCTTTGTTATTCCTAAAACCATTGAAAGATGGGCTGTTACTGTGGCACTAGGAACATCCTGTTCTGAGGTTGTGGCTCTGCTTGTGTACACGCCAGAATAAAGACTATGAATGTAACCCAGTTTTCCCCCAACCGCTCCTCTGTTCTCCGCAGGACTTCCTCATGGAAACTTTTATCATGTTCAAGGACCTGATTGGAAAAAATGTCTATGCCAAAGATTGGATGGTGATGAATATGACTCAGAACAGGTGAGACAGCCGATGGCTGGCCCTGAGGCATTTGTCTGAATACCTGAGGCTGCTGTGTGAACTTTGGGAAGTGTCTTTAAATCCCTTTGCCTCAAATCCGTCATTTGTAAAGTGGGAATCTTCCTGCTCCAGAGGTCCTAATTTATGTGCTGATGATCTTGATTTTCCCAGGGTTATTGCCTTTGCTCCACCTCGGGCTCTCTACTCCCTTCTCTAGCATCGTCTCTTCAGTGCTCTCACGGTAATTGTCATCCTCAACTCTCCACTGCACCTTTCCGTGGCTCCACATGGCCTGTGTCATCCTGACATTCAGGGTTCACCTGATACTGTCTGTTCTATGATCTGTCCGTGATGTATTTAACCAGATTCTTCTTATGAACATTTAGATTCTTTCCATTTTCTATTATGTGAAATAGCACTGTGATGGCCTTCCTTGCTTTACATATTTACAGATATCCATGGTTATTTTATCAGGATACACTCTTTTTTTTTTTTTTTTGAGACGGAGTCTCGCTCTGTCGCCCAGGCTGGAGTGCAGTGGCCGGATCTCAGCTCACTGCAAGCTCCGCCTCCCGGGTTTACGCCATTCTCCTGCCTCAGCCTCCCGAGTAGCTGGGACTACAGGTGCCCGCCACCTCGCCCGGCTAGTTTTCTGTATTTTTTAGTAGAGACGGGGTTTCACCATATTAGCCAGTATGGTCTCGATCTCCTGACCTCGTGATCCGCCCGTCTCGGCCTCCCAAAGTGCTGGGATTACAGGCTTGAGCCACCGCGCCCGGCCTTATCAGGATACACTCTTAAAATAATTTACTAGTTCAAAAGTTTGGCGAAATTATAGGACTTTTGATACGCAGTGCCAAACTAACTAGTCCCTTCTGCTACTTCCCTGTGTATGCTACCTGTACTCCAACCAAACTGGCCTCTGCCCAGTCCCTGCATACATGGTCTGCTCTGCCTGACACCAGTCTTCCACCAGCAGTGCCTTCCCCATAACCTCCAGCTGTCAGCGTTCCAGCCGTTCCATAAGGTTCTTCTCAAGAGTCACCTCCAGACAAAGCCTTTCTGAGCTGGATGTCCTCTCTTCTTCCTTGATTTTCCATACCCCATTCAAACCTCATAGAATTGTTTTCAGATTCTATATTAGATAATAGATGTACATGTTGTTAATTTCCCCTACCAAGCTGTAAATTTCTTAAGTTCAGACACTGTATCTTTCAACACAGACCTGAGCCTGTGCCTTGCAATTGCTGGCCCACAACAGATACTTGTTGAACAAAAGTGAAATGAACTGAATATATATTATGTTAAAAGTGTTAGAATTTAATGAGATAAATAAAGCAACCCATTTTTGTAAGCATTATTGTTAACTCTACAGGATATCCAATTCTGAGTAATTCTACTCTAATATCTGATTAGCAGAAGCCTTCCCTGCTATGTACAGATTAGATTTAAAAAAATTTCTCCAGAAACGCTAAGCTTAAACAGAAGCATCATAATAGAGTCTATATTACCCTGCTCTGAGGCTTAAGAGTTCTGGTTTGCAGTCTCAGATCTACCTTCAGTTACCTAAATTGGAATGTGGCCCTGAGTGGCTCTTCTTGTTAGTTCTGTAAACTGAGCTCCTGTGCCCCGTCTGTGGATGGCATTGTGCTGTTGGTCTACAAGGACACTGTTAGATTGTGAGGTCTTAAGATGCCAAGTTCAGGTTTGGTTTGGTTTAGCTTTTAACATAGTTGGGGAAAAGTTTCAAAGGACATACAGTTGCCTTCTTTACCTGGTATTTTCCTTCCCCAGGGTTTTTCTCCGTGCTATAAATCAGTTTGCTGAAGTTCTCACAAGATTCTTCATGGATCAGGCAAGCTTTGAACTTCAGGTAGGCATGTGACTCACCTACATGCTTCTGGAATTCTTGGCCATGGCAAGAGAACTATATGAATTTGGAAAGTGTCTCCTCAGATTTCACCATTTTCACATGAAAAAGGTTTTCCTGTGTTTTTTCATTTCCTAAAGCACATATGCCTGTCACACTGTCCTCCAAACACAATAAAATAGGGGTTGTTTCTTTTTTCTACAAAGGTAACATCTGTTATAAAAAAAATAAAAAAAAAAAAAGTCTTAAAGAGTAAAGTAGAAGATCAAAAATACAAATAGTCCTCCTTGTCACTGTAAACATTTGGAGTTGACCCTTTGTATATTTACACAAATGCACGTAGACACACATGGCTACAAATAAGCACACAGGTAACTCTCCTATCTACAAATGAGTTTGGTTCTAAAGAACGGTTCTTATGCACAGTTTGTTGAAAGTCCAAAGGAATTGCAAAACGGATGATCACTAACTCTATCTTCATTCATTCATTCATTCATTCATTCATTCATTCATTCATTCATGTGTCCATTCATCCATTTAGGAAATGTTAGAGTTCTTATATGTACGGGGCACAGGGATATTTCCCTGGTGAAGGCAGATAAGTTCCTTGCTCTCGTGGAGCTCACCTTCCAGGGTACTCTGCGTTTTTGGGTGATGTGCTTTCTGTATTCTTTGTCTGTGTGTGTATCTGTGGAACTGTTATCAGTGGAGGTCCTTGACTACAAATTGTCCAGGTTCTTGGTGTTTTGAACAAAATGCACAAACAAAGCAATGAAAGAATGAAGCAATAAAAGCCAGATTCATTGAAATGAAAGTACACTCCACAGAGTGGGAGCGGGCTCAAGCAAGCGGCTCAAGAGCACTGGTTAGAGAATTTTCTGGCGTTTAAATACCCTCTAGAAGTTTCCCATTGGTTACTTGGTTACACCCTATGCAAATGAAGGAGTAGCCTGTGACCAGTTTGACCCTCCCACCAGTTGCAGGAGGGGACCAATCAGAGGTACTTTGAGTTTTTCTTCTGCCACACAGTGCAAAGGGGTAGCCTCTGATCCTTTTGTTACTTGGGTGTGGAGAGGTGGAGTTTTCCTTTTGATTCAGTTCTAGGAAATCAGTGTGAATTGGCCTTCAGTGCCCTGCCTCCAGGCCCCGTTTTCCTGCCTCAGAACTTTAAAAGTTGAAACTCGTAAGTAGAGGAAAGTATACACACATACACACACAGAGATGCATATGCATATAGATGAATATATATTGTATGTATGTGTATGTATATTTGCCAAAATGGAATTAAGCTGTGCCGTTCTTTGGTACCCTGTTAATCTATTTTCCTTTTTCAATGATCTATGATTTTTTTCAATAATGTTGAATATTTTCTTATTTTTAATGACTGAATACCATCTTTTCTATGCCTGGTCCATGATATATTTAACCAAATTCTTCTTATGAACATTTAGATTGTTTCCATTTTCTATTATATTAAATAACACTGTGATGGACTTCCTTGCTTTAAATTTTTAAAAATATTCATGGTTGGTCAGGCACAGTGGCTCATGCCTATAGTCCCAGCACTTTGGGAGGCCAAGGCGGGCAGATCACCTGAGGTCAGGAGTTCAAGACCAGTCTGGCCAACATGGCAAAACCTCATCTCTACTAACCATACAAAAATTAGCCAGGCATGGTGGTGCACACCTGTAATCCCAGATACTTGGGAGGCTGAGGCAGAACACTTGAACTTGGGAGGTGGAGGTTGCAGTGAGCTGAGATTGCACACTGCACTCCAGCTGAAAAAAAAAAAGCGTGGTTATTTCATCAGGATAAAGTCCTGAAAGTGTTTACTGGTTCAAAAGTTTTGCAAACTTGTAGGGCTTTTGAAACCTAGTGCCAAACTGCGTACTATAAATAGATGTACTTCTTGGCAGCAGCTTTCCTTTATCCCAGGAGTAAAGAAAAATATAATAGTTTAAATTTTTTTAAAAAGCTTAACATTAAGTCTCAAAACTTAGAATTGAATAATCAACACCCAAGAAAAAGAAATCTTGTAGAGTGTATTTTGTTCTTTCATTAATCCCTGATTAATGATTTTACCATGTGACATTGTTTTATTTTGACCCTTATTAATGTTATTTTTCATTTCCTTTTACCCACACAATTAATTCTGAACAGCTCTGGAACAATTACTTCCATTTGGCAGTAGCATTTCTCACCCATGAGTTCCTTCAGCTTGAAACCTTCTCACAAGCCAAGCGCAACAAAATTGTTAAAAAGTAAGTGTCCTTTTAAAGTTAAGATCGGCAAGGGGCTTCTTCCGTTTGTTTATATTGAGAGCAGTATTTTAGGTATCACAGAAATTACTATTTAGTGGTTGCCCATGTTGTTAGTGAGGTAGGTCTTCAACTAATTACTTAATAGGCCTCACATTCCCCCAGGTTCAGCACTCTTTTCTTAAGGCCCAACCATCTTCCCATCAGTCATCCTATGCTTTTTATCAAATCTGTACCTAGAGATGGACTTTGGCTGTCAGCATGCCCATCCCCAAGAACAGCTGCGCCTCTGCTGGCAGCTTCCCCAAATTGCAGGCATAGTACTTTGTGAAGTACTATGAGTACCATGAACCACTATGAAGAGTCACTCATAGTGCTTCACAAAGCACACTCCTTCCCTGCCGTTTCAGCAGAGAAAACCAGGACTCAAACATTGCATTAAAATGCCCTCCAGATTCCTGGCCTGGAATTCAAAATGGAATTATGTGCAGAAGTGATAAGAGATTTAGGGAAGCATTGCATTTCATTGAGAGACTAGAAATCCAAAGACCGTGTTGTTAAAAAATAACTTGAGGAATGTATTATTTGAAGACTTCGAAATTTTAGTTCTGTTCCCCTTGTTGGGATATCTGTGATATCTAGGAAAACTATTTAGTGTCCTTCTACTTCTGGTTCCTCCCTCAAAAACTGCCTATGTATATAGAAAAACAGCAAAGTATTTTTTGCTCCCAAGGACCAATTTTTATCCCTTTGTGGGCAATATCACTCCCAGTGAGAGTACATGGTGTAGAGCCTTCCAATGTGAATACTGGAATGGATGTATATTACCCAAATATCAGTCTATAAAGTATATAAGTATTTAGTCTGCCTGTTAGACATCAGTCAGAGTACTGTATAATCATACTTCATTCACCTTCCTTTTCATCAGTGTTTGCTGTGTTTTGTTTGGCTTTGTCTGTGCCTCATTATTCTCCCTGAAGTGAGTTTGTTAATCTCATCTTAGTTATTTTTCAGTGTTTCCATTTGGCTTTTCATGCTGTCAAGGTCCCCTGGCCTCTGTGTGCCTCATTCCTTTTGGTGGCTCTTTTAGGTGTGAAACTCATCTCTTAAGGCTGGGCCTTAAGAGTGACCTGGAGGGGTACAGACTGTTTTGACTTTCCTTCTTATTGTGTTTATGCAATTCATTTCCACTGCAAATCCTCCTTCTGGTTTATGATCTTCTTCCTAGATATGGGGACATGAGAAAGGAAATCGGCTTTAGAATCCGGGACATGTGGTATAACCTGGGTGAGTGTCTAGCCTTGAACAGGCCTGATCACAACTTCTGAGTGACAAGCATCCCATGATGAATTCTTTTTTTATTTTAATCCAGATAACCCTGAGATGTATTTGTCTGTGTGTCTGGAAGTGAAAGTTGATTTGTGGGTTTCATTGACAATGAACTGTCTTTTACTCTGGCATCCACATGTTATCAGAATATAATATTGAGTCACTCACTTCTGAATTGAGTTGATTTACCCACATAAACCTTTTCTTTTCTTATGGGCCTTGTGGAGGAAGATTGTAACACTTTACTTTCAGTGAAATAATTTTTTAATATCTTCATTCACTTTCATTTCAGGTCCCCATAAAATCAAATTCATCCCATCCATGGTGGGTCCCATTCTGGAGGTCACTCTGACCCCCGAAGTAGAGCTCCGGAAAGCCACAATCCCCATTTTCTTTGATATGATGCAGTGTGAGTTCAATTTCAGTGGAAATGGCAATTTCCATATGGTAAGAAGTGGTAGACCGTGTAGTATCAGTAAATGGACATATAGTCAACTCATAAGTCATTTCTTTCTATGTAGAGAAGCAGTAACCTAAATAATGCAAGTCCACGTTGATCTGAAAGTTAACTTTACATTTCATTTTGTAAGACAATTAGAGATAGAGTCAGACATTGCAACCCAGAGTCTGGAAGAGATATTTTTGCTACATGTCTTTCCTAAGGCAACACCCTGTCTGTAGATAATTAAAGAAAGTTAACTTCATGCATTTTAATTCTGGTTGTTTGAGTATAGCCCAGAGAATAATGTAGCGAATTGAATTTTAAAACCTATCTATTATACTACAGCTGAAAGCAATGTAATGGATTAAGTTCTAATCCATTACTCTATAGCTTTGAGAACATCATTTTCCTGATGTGTCTTCTCTATGCCTCTGTTTTCTTATCTACAAAGTGTATTAATATGGAAAGGATGATTTTGCAGCTATGATCCTCTGCAAAAGCAATCTCACTGCGGAGACTTGGACATGAAACTAAAGTAAAATAGAAAAATGAAAATTATTATTCTATTTTTATATGCATAGTTGTAACAGAAAGCAATGTTTGGGATAATATTTTTTTAATCAAATGTAATGCAAAGGACAAAGTGACATGAGACTGTGTTAGAACATTTTAGTAGGGCCTTGGTGCACAGTTTATGAGTGACCCTCTGTGCTCCTCCCTGTCTGTGCTGAAAACAGTTCACAACTCAATGAATGGGGTCGGCCAAGTCTAGAAAGGTTGGCCATGTCTTCTTCTAAGGAGGCAACATTTTCCTGTGAAATTCTACGTCTACTTTCAGTTTGAGAACGAGCTGATCACAAAGCTGGACCAGGAGGTAGAAGGGGGCAGAGGAGACGAACAATACAAGGTTCTTCTGGAAAAACTGTGAGTATTTCAGGAGCAAAACCTTAAGTCAGTGGTGTCATTTAGTAATAGAGAAAAACAGGGGTCCTGTTGCACCGATAGAGCAGTTGAGTAGTCTCAGAGTCACCAGGGCCACCCCCACTGTGGTCTTCAGTATGATTATGGGATATATACCGTCCACAGCTGACATTGTTTATCTGGTGGGAGTCAAATGCCGGTATTTTCCTGGCCAGCCTGGCCCTAGAGAACACAGCAGATGGAGGCAAGGAGGAGGTGCACAGAGCGGTGGCATTTTGCCCAGTGTTTGAATTTTTGAACTTCAACAAAAGTGTTAGCACTTCTAATTATAACTGCAAAGCAACAATTTAAAGGAAAAAATATTTCAAGGTCTGCTGTGTATGTAAAAAATACCTTATGCCCCATAAAGGACATAAAACCAAAGCAGTTCTATCTCCAGCCAGGTTGGTCTTTTTCCTGTCCTGTCATCCACCCCATTCAACACATCTGTACCTCTGTCTGGGCTCCCATTATCATCACTGTCCCTTCTTCCTCCACCGCCACACTCACCTATAACCCTCTTGCCCTCGTCATCCTCCTTGGCACATGTGGAGTAATGGAGAATGGAAAAGTGATTATTTAAAAAACACATAGGTGTTGGCCTCAGTGAGAGATTGAGCGTCAAACCCTGTTTTCACCACATATTAAGAGTTTGGCTTTAGTCCAGCAATTCTGCTTATCCAACACCACATTTTTTTTCCCTCTCCAAGAATAGCATCTATTTTTTGATATCATTATGAGGATTACAGGAGATGATATGCTAACATAGCATCTGTTGCAGAGTTCAAGCCTAATAAATATTGGCTGCTCTAGTGTTTGTAGTGGTTGTTATTACAATTTGTTTTTGGTGTTTGTTTGTTTTTAAGAGATAGGGTCTCTCTCTGTTGCCCAGGCTGGAGTACAGTGGTACAATGATAGCTCACTAAAGCCTGGAACTCCTGGGCTCAAGCAGTCCTCCCACCTCAGACTCCCAAGTACTAGGACTACAGGCATATGTCGCCATGCCCAGCTGTTTCTTATTTTTATTTGTGTAGAAATGGGCTCTTGCCATGTTGCCAAGGCTGGTCTGAAAATTTTGCTTTAAGTGATCCTCCCACTTCAACCTCCCTAGTAGCTGGGACTGTAGGTGTGCACCACCATGCCCAGCTGGCTTTCATTTTTATTTTTGTAGAGATGGGGTCTTGCTTTGTTGCCCAGGCTGGTCTAGAACTCTTGGCCTCAAGCATTCCTCCAGCCTTGGCTTCCTAATGGGCTGGGATTACAGGCGTGAGTCACCACGTCTGGCCTATTATTATTATTATTATTATTATTTACAGGCCTGCCCTTCATTCACGTTGTAGCTACTCTAGACCATTGCTTTCTCATGTTCCCTGAACTTTTCTAGTATTGACCAACTGCGTCTCCAACTGAGTGCTTGCCTGGGTCACTTTGTTGTTCACCTGTTTTGTGGGAGTTTTGTGGATGAGAGTCTGTGTTTGAGGACAGCGCTCCCAACTGTTTTCTTTTTTGAAGATTCCCTAAGGAACTAGCACTCCGAATACTTAGAAATGGAATTGAGTTGATGAATAGTCTGTATTTTAAAGGACTAGAAGCCTTTCTTATTTTGTTTTTAATGGCGATAGGACCTTTTGTTGGTGTTTTTATCCTGTTTCCATTAAGTCTGTCCATTTGAACTTCAAACCTCCCAGTTTATATCTTTTGCAATTCTGATCTTTTGTGGAATTAAATGAAGTTATGCACATATACACAAAATATTTACACGTGATATGCTACTTTTTTTTAATCCTACAGCTGATTTTTTTTACATAAGGATCTTACTTTGTTTTCTTCATTCTTCCCAGTTCACTAACTCAGAAAAAATATGGATACCTAGGTCTCCAGTGCCCAAGAATAACCCTAAATCTGGACTAATGTTTTGGACCCATTTCTTTCTCTTTCCCTCTGCCTCTTTTCCCAGATTTTCTTTTAATTATCTAATCTAATGAGCCCCAGAACTTGGCTCTATGTGTGTCCAAAGGGACAGGATTTAGACTGAAAGTTTAGTCTCAGTTTGCTTCTTTACAACTCTGCATTTTTATCTGAAGCTAGCACTTTTATCTAAAGAGCTGCATCGCAGGAGGTGTACTAGGTTTCCAGGTTCCTCTAGGCTGGGCATCCATACGAGGCATTCCAGAATGTTCAGAGGATGCCCTGAGTGCCAGGCCTTAGGGAGAATAGAGACATAGGAAAAATGGTCTCATGCAACTAGATTACAGTCCTCACACAGCACAAACCTTTTGAGCAAGGATTTGTTGACTGAATAAAACACAAACAAAAGCAGACATTGCAAGAAGGACATTGCGGGCTGGGATTCTAAGTGATGGTAGGACTTGAGCTGAGTCCTAAAGAAAACTGGAACTCGAGTCCACAGAGAAGCGCAGCATAAATGAAGGTCACAGGATAGGAAGGTGTTGCATGAGGTGTGTGTGTCGGCTTAACTCTGTCACTTAATATCTAACACTGACATTCTGTGTCGTCAAATCCTACCCCAACCACTGCTGAGACCCCCCTGGTCAGTGCCGGTCAGTGCTGCTGGAATGACAGCATGGAACCTGGGCTTTTGTCTCTCCCTCCGCCCCACCAGGCTCCTAGAACATTGCCGGAAACACAAATACCTCTCCAGCTCTGGGGAGGTCTTTGCCCTCCTGGTCAGCAGCCTCTTAGAGAACCTGCTGGACTACAGAACCATCATCATGCACGATGAGAGCAAGGAGAACCG